AAGCTACATATGTTGTATGTCAAGAACTACAATTGAGGACTTCCCTGGTGGCGCAGTGGTTAAGAAACTGCCTGCCACTGCAGGGGACACAGGTTTGAGCCCTGCTCTGGGAAGATCCCACATACCGTGGAGCAACTAAGCCCGTGCACCACAGCTACTGAGCCTGTGCTCTACAGCCCATGTACCACAACTACTGAAGCCCGCGTGCCTAGAGCCCATGCTCTACAACAAGAGAAGCCACCGCAATGAGAAGCCTGTGCACTGCAACAAAGAGTAGCCCCGCTCGCCGCAACTAGAGAAAGCCTGCGTGCAGCAACAAAGACCCAATGCAGCCAAAAATAAAAAAAATTTTAAAAAAGAACTACAATTGAAGCTGGCAAGAAGTAAGAGTGCTTTTTAAGTATGGACTGGTTGGGGTCCAAAATAGTTGCAAAGTTACAAGGGGAAACGTTGGACCATTAGGTTGCAGCTGGCAGCTACTAGCAGATACTGTTTTGAAAATGGCTTGTGGTATCCTTGAGTTTGATACAGTTCAGAAAATTCAGGGTCTCAATGATGCAGCCACATGTCTGAAACTACATCTCAATTGCCACCCGGCTCTATTTTTCTTTTAATATTTATTTTTTAATTTATTTTGGCTGTGCTAGATCTTTACTTGCAGCATGCAGGGTTCTTAGTTGCAGCATGCATGCAGGATTTAGTTCCCCAAACAGGGATCAAACCCAGGCCCCTTGCACTAGGAGGATGGAGTCTTACCCACTGGACCACCAGACAAGTCCCACCTGGCTCTATTTTGGATACCTGAACCACAGTTTTATATCTTGTCAGAACAACATCAAACATGACAGAGGTACATTCCTTCAAGGCTTCAAAAGGGACAGATTAGCATGCACACAGCTAGTTAGCATGACTTTGGTGTCTGGGAAGAGAACTTCATCTTCAAAGGAGTACCAGCACTGGCATCATGGGGGCGGGGAAGGGGGGCACTGATCCCTACCTTCAAAGTGGACATTCTAAACAATCTGGTAACTGTATTCCTTTTTCTTTTTTCAAATGGTTAAAGCAGGGCTTCCCTGGTGGCGCAGTGGTTGAGAGTCCGCCTGCCAATGCAGGGGACACGGGTTCGTGCCCCGGTCCGGGAAGATCCCACATGCCGCGGAGCGGCTGGGCCCATGAGCCATGGCCACTGAGCCTGCACATCCGGAGCCTGTGCTCCGCAACCAGAGAGGCCACGACAGTGAGAGGCCCGCGTGCCGCAAAAAAAAAAAAAATGTTTAAAGCAGATGTATAATGTATGTTTCACAGGCCATAACGCAAGCCTGTTCTAGTTAGTACAAAGGTCAAGCCAAATCACGTATAAGCCAGAATGACTTCCCTATACTTCAACATATGAAAATTGCTTCCATCAAGTCTATAAAAATGGTACAGGTCCTTTAACTACTTGCCATGTGGACTCTAGATTTTGAACTTAGTTGTCTGTAGTACTTCTTCATAAATATTTTACATACTAAACATTTGTATTTGTAGGACGTAATTTTCCCTGTCTGGCGGTCTTTTTTAATTGAGATATAATTCTCATAGCATAAAATTCACCCTTTTAAATACACAACTAAGTGGTTTTTAGTATATCCACAATGTGTACAAACATCACCACTAATTCCAGAACATTTTTATCACCCCCAAAACAAACCCTGCACTGCTTAGCATTCACTTGCTATTCCCCTCTGCCCCCGGCCCCTGGCTACCACTAACCTTTTTATCTCTATGGATTTGCCTATTCTGGACATTTCACATAAGAATTACACAAAGTCTTGTGTCACCGGGTTCTCTGGCTTAGCACAATGTTTCAAAGTTCATCCATGTTGCAGCAAGTATCACTGCTTTGTTCCTTTTTTACTGCTAATAACCCATTATATGGATCTACTATATCTTGTTAATCTGTTCAATAGACAGGTTGTTTCTACTTTTCAGCCATTATGAATAATGTACCTATTCAGGTACAAGTTTTCACTTCTCATGGGTTTATACCTAGGAATGGAATTGCTGGATCCTATAGTAAGTAATTCTATGTTAACATTTTGAAAGACTGCCAAACTGTTTCCAAAGTGGCTAAGCATCTTTTCATTCTTTCTTTTCTTTCCTTCCTTCCCTTCCTCCCTTTCTCTTTCTTTCTGCCACACTGCATGAAGGGGCATGCAGGATCTTAGTTCCCCAACCAGGGGTGGAACCCATGCCCACTGCAGTGGAAGCAGACTCCTAACACCTGAAACACTAGGGAATTCCCATTAAGCATCTTTTCAAATGTTAATGACCATTTAGTTTTCCTCCTCTTTGGAAATACTCCATAGCTTTTGCCTCAGTCTTTGGTCAGTTAGCAGGAGCTCTTTGTATGCTGGGAATGCCTTAGTCTTTATCTGGTTTATCTTCTACAATTATGTCCCAGTCTACTGCTTGATTTTATTAATATTGTTTTCTAAAGTTTTTTTTTTAATACAGTCACACAAGCTTATATTTCACTTTAAGGCACCTCAGTTTCCTATTTTGCCTCAATATTAAATTTAACCTTCTTTTAAGTGTTCTTTCATTGGCTCTTAAATTCCATCTTTTTGTATGTAGTGTAAAGACAAGAGCCTTTTTCCCCAGAAGAATAATTTCTGCTAGCACCAAGTTAAATGCTATCCTTGCATACAGGTCGACATATATTCAGATCAATTTTGGCTATACTGTTCTATTTATTCACGTGTAGTTCAAACTACACTGCTTTGACTAAAGAAGGTTTTTTTTTTTTCTCGTAATTTTGATGTCTGGAAAGAGAGGTATTCGTTTTTTTTTTTCTTTTTTTAAGTTTTGTTGTCACGCGGTTTTTTCTTTCTTTCTTTTTCATTTTATTGATTGATTGATTGATTGCTGTGTTGGGTCTTCGTTGCTGCTCGAGAGCTTTCTCTAGCTGTGCTGAGCAGGGGCTATGCTTCATTGCGGTGTGTGGGCTTCTCACTGCGCTGTCTTCTCTTGTTGAGGAGCACGGGCTCTAGGCACGAGGACTTCAGTAGTTGTGGCTCAGGGGCTCTAGAGCGCAGGCTCAGTAGCTGTGGCACACGGGCTTAGGTGCTCCGCCGCATGTGGGATCTTCCCGGACCAGGACTCAAATCCGTGTCCCCTGCATTAGTAGGTGGACTCTTAACCACTGCGCCACCAGGGAAGCCCCTGCCACACGGTTTTGACACTACTCTCTTTATAACATGTTTTAGATCACAGCTGAGTGACTCACCTATAGTTACCGTTAATAAACAGAACTCATATTTTCACTTTAGTCATCCTGCCTGAGGCTGGCGTTTACAAAGAAGAATAAGGTAATCCCTGCTCTTGTGTGGCCCCAATTCCTGATCACTGCCTCACTGGAAAATGAACCGAGTATGGGAACAAGGCAGAAAGAAAAGACGAATTGAGGACGGTAACGGAGATGGACAGCTAGAATTCCTGAGAAAATAAGATGGCCGGTCCAGACCTCTGTGTAGAAGTTGGCCAATAGGGGAGGGGAGCTTCGCCCGGCTCTGACCAAAGGGCCGCCCCTGCCGAAAGGGACGGCTGTAACAGGACCCTAGAGCCGACAAAAACCACAACCTACCACCACCTCGCCGCCACCGCAATTTTTTGATAGACCCCAGGAACTGGGGCGGAAACTGCGTCGGCCTCTCACAGACCTTCCGGTCCGTCAGACGGCCCGCTTCCGGTCGAGCCCCGGCCCTGCTCCGCCCCAACAGCGGCGCCTGGTGATCTCCCATTGGCTGTTTAGCACCGAACTACATTTCCCAGCAGCCCTTGTAGCTAAACCGTCCGTACCTGGAGTGGTGCCAACCTGTCTTGGAGGGTTTGAGCCAGCCTTCTGCTTTCCATCTCCCAGGTACAGCCGCAGAGAGAGTGGCTGCTGCCAACCTGGCCTCCCTGCGTCCCTGAGAGCTCTGCCGGCCGGCCTCGAGCCTCGCCTTCCCAAGCGCAGACCGCTCGCTCCAAGCGAGGAGACCAGGCTTCCGCACCGGAAACGGGGCACCGGGCGTGACGTCACTGCTACCTAGGCGCCCGGCCTCCCAGAAGGCATCGCGTCCCTGCAGTCCTCCCTAACTGACGGCGGCGCACGCCAGTAGTCGCTGGCTGCTTGTGAGGACGTTCCGAAGGGCGAGAGGTGGGCTTACCCTCTCGAGCCTAGTTTCCCGGTCTCTCCCCGAGTCTGGGTCTCTGGGCTGTCCCCAGTGAGCGCCCACGGGCGGCAGAACCCCAAGAGGTGAGGGACTCCAGGAGGGCGGGAACCAGGCTGAGGCGGCCTCTGGGGAGCGGAACAGAGTCTATTGCTAGGGGAGCCTGGCCGGATAGGTGGCCGGGAGCGCTCCCCAGGCAATGCCACCAGCTGGGCTTTGCGGTGAAGGTGCCCCTTGGCCACTGGGAGAGGCTGCAGAGCGGGCCTGGCCTGGTGGGTCCTACTGGGATGTCCCCTGTCGCTCTTACAGGGCTTTGAGGGCGGAAAGGAGTCAGCAGGCCACACGTAGACACCTCATGCGGCCTTGCGTTTGCTCTTTGAACCATCAGCAACCCCCGGAAGGACATCCGAGGGACCTGCGGTCCAGGGGACCGCAGTGAGGCCGGATTCGGTGGCCAAGTTGACTTGTAAACAGATGCCCTCGGTATTGGACACCGGATTTCCTGTCTTCTGGCCCATTGCTGCTTCTACCAGCATGAGTTAAACCTTTCTTCCCAGTGGAGTTTGCACTTCATTTTCTCATGAGGATGGCCCTTGACGTTTGAACATCTTATGCTTTCATTCTCAGGATATTCCTTTCAGGCCTTGCTAAGAGTATCGGGTCAGGGATCTTCCTTACGGTTGTGAGTTCCCTACCGTATTTTATCTTTCCTTTTTGATTTAGATCTCATGTGGCTTCACTTTGCAAGACATACTGGAGTGCAGGCATCTCCAGCCTGACTCATGGTTTCTCTCATCTGCAGCGTGACTGACAGGTTTCCTCCAGTAAGAGGTGACTCTTGAAGCTCTGCAGAAACAAGTGTGTGTGTGATTTCAAGGCACGATGGCTGCAAAAGTGGTTCCTATACCCCTAAAGCCAAAGAGGTCCTTTATACTGAGAGTTCCTCCTAACTCCAAGCTGGGCCAAGGTCTACTCCGAGATGCTACTAGTGGGCCCAAGACCATTCACCAGCTGGTTCTGGAGCACTTCCTCACCTTCTTGCCCAAGCCAAGCCTAGTCCAGCCCAATGAGAAAGTCAAGGAGACCTTGGTTATTGTGAAGGATGTGAGCTCAAATCTTCAGAACAGAGGTAAGAAGCACATACTGTTTTACTAGAAGAGAAGGGGATGGTACTGGGGGCTGAGCTAGACTTCCCTGTTAGTAATGAATTCAAGTTAGGTTGGTGGGTGTTGGAAAAAAAGAGTTGATTCCAATAAGTCAACGTGCCAGGGAGTGGGAGTATTTTTTTTCTCAAGCTGGAGCTTGAATGGTTTGCTAAGTGTGTGTAAAGCCACAGAATAAACAGTGTGTATCTTTTCTGTAGTGTCAGTTTTACCCAGACATTGGGGGAGGGGGAGTATCTTTTTAGGATAAAGGAATGTGGATGAATTATTGAATTGACCAGCTTATGTGGAATTTTGTTAACTTTTTTGCTTGCTGTGGGCATCTTCAGACTTTACCTTTCCCCATCCTTCCCCTTAGTAGTAATGGGAATTTTAAAAGGTGCTTAGGGGAATATCCTTTTCATAGTGAAGAGACCCTATATAGGTTTAAGACCCTGTAGTTTGTGGATTGATCTCTGACTGGGCTCATAGGAACAGAAAAAGCCTTGAGTTACCTACCAAAAGAATGAGGACAGCCTGGCTTCAAGGTGTGGGTAGAGTCTCCATATTAGAGTCACTGACTTTTCTATTAACTACAGCTTCCTCTTTCCCCAGTGCAACCTCATCCCTTAGTGAAGCTTCTACCCAGAGAAGGAATCCAGCAGAAACAAGAGACAGTGTCTCTGTGTTTGAAAGCTGAGTCTGAGGTGGGTTCAGTTTTCCTGTTCACTGTTTGAGTGCATCACCTTCTCTACTCTTGCAGCCCTCCCATATATATAAACCCACTCTTGGGAGTCAGCAGGGAGATGGGGCTCTTTCTTCACTGCCTCCTTGGACAGTCATCTTTTTTTTTCCCTCTGGCTCCTCTCTGAGCCAGGCTTTCCTGTCTGCATGGGACTTCTAGATCCCTTTTGCCATCCCTTCCCTGATCTTGGTCTTTCTTAATAGCAGGGCTGTCAAGGAACCTCTGTTACTAAGAGGAAGGGGGCCTGTTGCTCTTTCAGGAGCTGGTGGTCTTTGAGGATTTGAATGTATTTCACTCCCAAGAAGAGTGTGTAAGCTTGGATCCTGTTCAGCAGCCCACCTCAGAGATTCAAGACAACAGCATTGGGGAGATGATGTTACTGGGTAAGAAATTAAGTCCCTTGTATATTCAGATTGAAGGCTATGGGAAAAGCATGTTCTATTTCATCTCAGACTTTTTTGAGACATTGTTCACACCAGCTAAGTACATGTTCATGCACATTTAACTTTTGGTTTATTCCATGTGGTAGAGCCTTCTCCAGCTGTGAGTGGCCATTTTCCCTGTATCTTGGGGGCAGTAAGGAGGGGACTTCTCTTGGTAAGCAAGACTTGAGGTTGATATACTCACATCAAATATTTAAACAGATAGAAAATGCGAGTATACCATTTCTGAATCTCTGCATCCAGTGGTATTCTCCCCACAGATATATTTTACATCAGTGTATTTATTGGACACATAACTAATTGTTTTAAGTCTTTTTTTTTTTCTTGATGTTCAGTAGCTGTGAAGCCTACTAGTGTAAGAGAAAGTATATCCCACTTTTGATGGAAATAACATCTGGCACTTACTAAGCACTTGTGTGCCAATATGTGCTAGACACTTCTAACTACTTTGCATGCATTTATTATCTCATGTAATTCTTATGATAGTACTGTGGGGTACAGGAATCATTACTATTTCATAGATGATGGAACTGAAGCAGAGAATAGTTAAGAAATTTGCTAAAGGTCACACAGCAGTAGGTAGTAGAGCAGGGATTTGGACTCAGGGAATGTAACACCAGAACACAGTCTTGGCCCAGTACAATACTGCCTCCTTGCTGCATTTCTCTTAGTTTCATCAGTGAATTTCCTATATGATTGGTGAATGAAGCCTTCTTCATTTGTACTCATTTCCCAGTAGTGGCTAACAAGTGCTACATAGGAACCCATCTGGCAGCAGCTTCTCTGTAAGCTGCTTAGAGATGCTTCAATTTTTCTCTAGAAATATACTGCTACCCTAGAGCCAGGGTCCCTCAAAAATCATTTTGTTGAGTGCCTAATACTTTTTACCTTGCCTTCAAGACTGGTTCTGAGGCTGAGGTTTTGTGAGTTGCCTAGGGTGGCAGAAATACATAATGATTACTCAACTCTGTAGTTGTCTTATCCTGTATGGTTGGGGTGGTGGTACATAATAGGCCTGGTTAATTTCCCATAGATTATTATATGTACTATTTTATTTTAGGAAACCGTATAAACAGATCAGATTTATTACACTGAGTTTTTCCTGAGTCTTAGGCAAAGCTAGCATTTATTTTGGGTGACTGTTGGGCATGTTGCCAACTCCAGGAACACTTTGGCCCTGCACGTTGAGGGCCTGAGACCCAATCCTCACCCTCTCCTTTCTTCTCCTTTGTCCATACTCTGAAGCTGATGATTTAAGCTTAGAGTCACTCACCATATTTAATAAATGCTGTTTTCTCCTCAGGCAGCGTTGGGTTTTGGAGTTGATATTCAGGAGGTTAAAAATATATATAATGCTCCATTTCTACCCTCTAAGAGCTTCTAAGTTACAGCTGTAAAGAGCTATGATAAGTCAAGGCAGGATTTAGACCCAGGAGCAGAGTTTGGAAGAACACAGATTTGATTTTAGATGAGATTCAGTCCATGGCAGGAAATAAAATGAGGTAATCCTCTGGGCACTTGGACATTGGGGATTGGAGCTCAGATGTAAGGATGTAGAGATTTGGGAGTCATCATCATATAGCTGATAGTTGAAATAGTAACATTTGGTCGGTTTGTAAAGGGAAAAGTGTAAGGGAATGAACCTCGTGGGGACAGGAATCAAAAGGAAGGCCTTTGACAGAGGAAGACAGAATTTGTGTTTCAGTCCAAGTAAACCACATGAAAACAACCAAAAAGGGAGAGCACTTAAATTCTCAGTGAGATAGTTCTTACGGTTGTATCTGCCCTCTACTGTGGTAAGAGAATATACCTTTCCAAGATTAATACAAATTGACTACATACTATGCAACAAAAACACAATAGTCCAAAGAGTAGAAATTATACATTAGGATCTATCACAGTGCAATACAACTAGAAATTAATAATGAAATCAGAGAAAACAATTTCTTTCTACCAGTAAAGTTTAAAACTATTAAGTAACTTTGGGTCAAAGGAGTTATACAAATTAAAATTGCATAATTTTTCTGCAAAACACTATGTATCAGAATCTATGGTATAATCTAAAGTGGTACTCATAAGAATATGCAGGGATGAAAAATAATGTATACTGGTTTACAGAAATTAATTAAGCCTCTGATTCACAGTTAGGAAAACAAGGTAAGGGAAAACAGGAACAAAATATTAATAAATACAAACTTAGAAATCAATAAGTTAAAAATAGAAAAAATAGAGGAACTAATAAGTAGAATGATTTACACACAAATAGATAAACCAATTTCCATAGAGGAAACTGAAATTGTCAAAAAACTAGTCCCACACACAAGAAAAAGGACCAGCCTTAGTTTCACAGAAAATTCTTGTAAATCTTTAAAAATTTGACAGTTCAAATTCTGTGAGAACTTTCAGAGTATAGAAGAAGAAGGAAAACTTCCAGGTTCTTTTTATGACATTTGTGTAACAAAGATATCACAACCTGATGAAAATTGCAGTGACCAAATAAGATTTATTCCAGGAATACAAAAATGATTTAGTCGTAGAAAGTCTATTTGTTATAAGTCTATCCATCTGAAAATAAAAAGAAATAGCCTATGATCATTTTCATAATTATTGAAAAGATACTTGACAAAATACAAACCTCTTCTTCATAAGAATACTTAACAAACTAGTGACTAATGGATACTTCCTTAATGGGCTACATATCCTTTCAGCCAGCATCATCTTTAATGGGAAACACTGGGGGCATTCCCACTAGAATTAGGAATACAACAGTGAAGCCCACTGCCACTACTACTATTTAATATTTTGTTTCAGGTATTAGCCAGTGCAGTTAAATGAGAAGGAAAATAGCCATATTATAAGAACTTAAGAGAAAGATAAAACTACACCTATTTACATATAATTGTGTAGCTGGAAAATCCTAGAGAATATCTGAAAGCTTATTCCAAATAATAAGCATTTAGTAAGGCAATGAGATGTAAAATTATTTTACCGAAATCATTCATGCAAACACAATCATTTAGAAGGTATACAGTAGGAACAAAAAAGATTAAACACCTAGGAATAAACTTAAGAAGTGCGCAAAAATTATGAGGAAAACTTTAAAACACTTCTAAAGGACACAGAAGTAGATTTGAATGAATAGAAAGAAGTATCATATTCTTGGTGGGGAAGATTTTAACATAAAAAAAGGTCAGTTCTCCCCAAATTGATTTATGAATTCAATGTAATCCCTTTAACAAAACCAATAGGACTTTTTCCCCTGGAACTAGGCAGTCCGATCTCAAATTCAAATGGAAAAATAACTACAAGTAACAGAGAAAATTGAAAAGAAGAGCAGTGGCGCAGGAGGGTTCTAGCCGTATCAGGTATTAAAGCAGCCTCTAAAGCCTGTCATGAAAACAGTATATAGTATTGGCATGTGACTAGATAGACCAATGGGATGGAATAAGAAGTCCAGGGACCTCCCTGGTGGCGCAGTGGTTAAGAATCTGCCTGCCAGTGCAGGGAACATGGGTTCGATCCCTGGTCGGGGAAGATCCCACATGCTGCAGAGCAACTAAGCCCATGCGCCACAACTACTGAAGCCCGTGCACCTAGAGCCCGTGCTCCGCAACAAGAGAAGCCACTGCAGTGAGGAGCCCGCGGACTGCAATGAAGAGTAGCCCCTGCTCTCTGCAACTAGAGAAAGCCCCGCGCACAGCAACGAAGACCCAACGCAGCCAAAAATAAACTAATTAATAACAAAATTAATTAAGTAAAAAAAAAGTGCAGAAATAGGTTCAAATACACATGAGGATTTAGTTTGTGATAAAGTTGGAATCTCCAATCAGCAAGGTTAAGAGGGACTTTTTGATAAAAGGTGTTGTGACAACTTAGTAGCCATTTGGGGAATCATACCTTACTTTGCACACCAAGAAAAACTCCCAGTGCATCAAAGGGTGAATTCCTTTATAACCGTGGCCTAGGAAGGCTTTTCTAATTAAGACTCAAAAATCCAGAAGTCTTGAAAGAAAAGATCAATAAAGTAAATACATAAAAAGTTTAAGGGCTTCCCTGGTGGTGCAGTGGTTGAGAGTCTGCCTGCCGATGCAGGGGACACGGGGTCGTGCCCCGGTCTGGGGAGATCCCACATGCCGCGGAGCAGCTAGGCCCGTGAGCCATGGCCACTGACCCTGCGCATCCGGAGCCTGTGCTCCGCAACGGGAGAGGCCACAACAGTGAGAGGTCCGCGTACAGCAAAAAAAACAAAAAACAAAACTAAAAATAGAACTACCATACGACCCAGCAGGCCACAACAGTGAGAGGCCCGTGCACCGCAAAAAAAAAAAAATTAAAACTTCTGTATGACAAAATAAAAAATAGCTGAGCAAATAAAATGCAGTAAATTGGAGGTAAATATTTGCACCTTATATCAGACAAAAGCCTAATCTTCCTAATTTATTAAGAATTTCTAGAAATTGGGAACAGAAAGATCAACAGATTTTCTCAGAAATACAAATTACTCTAAAATACATGAAAGAGGGCTTCCGTGGTGGCACAGTGGTTAAGAAACCGCCTGCCAATGCAGGGAACGTGGGTTCGAGCCCTGGTCCAGGAAGATCCCACATGCTGCGGAGCAACGAAGCCCACGCACCACAACTACTGAGCCTGTGTTCTAGAGCCTGCAAGCCACAACTAGTGAAGCCCATGCGCCTAGAGCCCGTGCTCTGCAACAAGAGAAGCCACTGCAACGAGAAACCTGCACACGGCAACAAAGAGTAGCTCCTGCTCATCGCAACTAGAGAAAGCCCACAAGCAGCAATGAAGACCCAACGCAGCCAAAAATAAATTAATTAATTAATCAATAAAAGAAATTTTAAAAATAAAATAAAATACATGAAAGATGTCCAGCCCTTCTCATAATTAGAAATGCAAATAAAACCTTTACTGAGTTACCTTTTTTAAAAAAAATCTATCCGATTTATAGAAATCAGAAACTTAACACATTGGTGGTGAGGTTGTTGGGAGATGGGTATATTGCTGGTGGGCATGCAGAATGGTACAGTTCCTGTTTATGAGAATCTGTAATTACCCATATTACAGATGCATTTACCTTTTGATCTAGCAGACCCACTTCAGGGAATCTGAATTACAGATAATAGCAATAGCACACATTCAAAATAGTGTACAAACAGGGTTTATTCGTTGTGGTATTGTTTGTAAAAACACAAAGTTGAAAACAATCCAAGTGTTTCTGCAGAGGGCTGGTTGAATATGGTATGTTTCCACACGTCATACCATGATAATCTCTGTGCACTTGAATATAGTGACTGAAGTAAGGCAAGTAGCAGAAATATACATAGTGTACTACCTTTTATGTAAGAAATGGGGAGAAAAAGAAAACGTATTGCCTAAAGAAACAATGGGAAAACAAAAAGAAATTAATAAAACTGCTACCTGTCTGGGGAATGAATAGAATGGATGGGGAGAGGGATGAGAGTAACGCTGTGTATACTTTTTCATGTTTTGATATTTTGAGCCATATAAATATATTAGCTACTAAAATTATTTTATTTTAAAAGTTAGTACAGTAAAGGAAGGTAAAATACAGTTTCTCATGAACAACACAGGGATAAGAGGTGCTGACCCCCCCAGCAGTCAAAAATCAATGCATAGTTGATAGTCTGCCCTCCATACCCGCTGTCCCTCTATATCCATGGTTCCACATCTGCAGATTCAACCAACCTTGGATTGCACAGTACTGTAGTACTTATTGTTGAAAACATTCTGCGTATAAGTGGACTTTCGCAGTTCAAACCTGTGTTGTTGAAGTCAACTGTATTTTCATTGACCCTTTCAGAAAAATAAGAACAATCTTATGAGTTTCAACTAATTGTTCTGAAAACAGATATTTAGCTCTTTAATATAACCTAATGTTTATAATCATAAAACGCTGATGGTAATTCCTGAAAACTGAGAATAAAGAAACCTGCTATCACTATTAATATCATTAACTAATTTTCTAAAGCAAGAAAATAAGAAAAAGGGGTTGAGAAGAATGAATATTGGGAAGAGAGGGAACCAAAATATGATTTGTACTTAGAAAATCTAAAAGGATCAACTAAAACATTATTATATTTAATAGTTTTAAAGTAGGTTGATAGGAATAAGTATTTAACAATCAATAAATAACATTCTTTTTTTTTAATTTATTTTTGGCTGTGTTGGGTCTTCATTGCTGTGCGTGGACTTTCTCTAGTTGTGGTGAGAGGGGCTACTCTTCCTTGCGGTGCATGGGCTTCTCATTGCAGTGGCTTCTCTTGTTGTGGAGCACAGGCTCTAGGCTTGTGGCACGTGGGCTCAGTAGTTGTGGCTTGCGGGCTGTAGAGCGCAGCCTCAGTAGTTGTGGCACACAGGCTTAGTTGCTCCGTGGCATGTGGGATCTTCCCGGACCAGGGCCTGAACCCATGTCCTCTGCACTGGCAGGTGGATTCTTAACCACTGTGCCACCAAGGAAGCCCAATAAATAGCATTCCTAAATAAACACAAAATAATGAGAGCTCTCATTCAGAATGACTGTAAGATAGGAGTAAACTAGAGAAATGTTTTATTGGTAAATAGAAAAGAAGATTCTTAAATATTGGAGAGAAACAGGTCTAAACTGGAAAACTAAAATCATGTAAAATAAAGACAGCAGTGCCCTCCAAATTTATTTATACTGTAAATACACTCAGTCAAATATGTGAAAAGGTAGAAGTGGATGTTCTGACTGGTTTTACCAATATTAGACATGTTACAGACAACAAACAGTGTGATACTAAATTCCAAATGTATTAGAGTTAACTAATAATAAGGCATAAAAGAATGGCTAGAGGACTTCCCTGGGTGCACATTGGTTAAGAATCCACCTGGCAATGCAGGGGACACAGGTTCAATCCCTGGTCCAGGAAGATATCTCACATGCCGCAGAGCACCTAAGCCTGTGCACCTAGAGCCCCTGCTCCACAACAAAGAGAAGCCACCACCATGAGAAGCCTGTGCACCACAATGAAGAGTAGCCCCCACTCGCCACAAAAAGAGAAAGCCCGTGCACAGAAACGAAGACCCAATGCAGCCAAATAAATAAATAAATTTTAAAAATACCTTTTTAAAAAAAAAAAAGAATGTCCAGGAAACAATAGAAATTTATCAGATTTTAAGACTAATTTTTTTTTCTGGTTTTAAGTTGTGGAGTTATTATAGAGAGAGACTTCCATTAATATATCAGTAGTGATTGATAAAGAGATTAAGATTTGTAATATATAAAATTTATTTAAATTTATAAAAGTCTCAGCCCAATAGATAAATTACTAGTTTGTAGTAATCAAAATGCAAAGTAAAGCTACAATGAGAAACCATTGTATACCTATTAAATATTTGAAAATTATATCTACTGCCAGCAAGATTAGGTAAAATTGATAACCACATGTTGATGATTGTATTGAAATTTGTACAGCTTGTTTGGAAAGTAGTATAACAGTTCATACCAAGAGCTGTGATAAAAATTGGCATGTGCTTTGACCCAGCATTTTCATTATCCTAAGGGAATCATTAAAAGAAATAATTTAAAAGAAAAAATTCTATTGGTGTGAAACTGCTAAATCCAGCAGAGACTCATATTCTAGCTTCAGGTTCAGTCACATTATCTAAGTGGTTGATTTAATCCTTTACTTTAATCTCAGTAAGTTGCCTGGAGTTAGACAAATCCCTTGTCATGTCACCTGTTCAGAGCATACTTTTTTTTTTTCACTTTGTTGCCTAGTCTTTATAATTTGTTATTTTACACAGACTTTTTTTGGGAAATACAAATATAGAAAAGTCTACAGATCCTAAGTGTACAGCTCAGATTTTCACAAAATGTACACATTTATCTAACTACACCCAAAGTTGACTATTCCTAACAGCCCAGAAATCCCTCTGTGCCCCATGCTCAGTCACTACTCTCCTTCCTCCCCCAAAATGACAACTATTGACTTCTACCATAGTTTCATTTTATCAATTGTAGTAATCCTTTAGTGTCCAAATAATAATCCACTGTGTGAATATGCTGTACCTCCTTTAGTTGTGGTCATTTGAATTTTTCCAGTTTTCCACTATATTGGATATTATAATATTACCTAATACTATAATATTTTAATATTTAATGTAGTGAAAACCTGGAAGTAACTCATCTTACCATTCACTTACTAGCCTCCTAAAGATTACAAGTAGTACCCTTTAGTATTTATGTCCTTCATCCCCTGGTCCTTATTAGCTCAGTGCTCTACACAGAATATAAGGTCAGTATGAACTTGTTGAGTGAGTAGTTGGTGCTTATTCAGAAAACAAACAAATGAAATATTTTAATGTAGTCCCACTCATTCCAATTTTTAAAGAAAAGTAAAAAGAGAACTGTGTGCTTGCATTATGGGGTATGGAAAGATTTATCAGTCATGTATCCCACCCTCATTAAGGGTAGAAAAGTGTTGATGGCAATTATCGACCAGTCCTCAGATTTCTGACTTTCAAGGTTATTGTTTCATGAGAAATCTGACTTGTTTTTTCCTGCCTGGTATCATAGCCCTCAAAAGTTATTAAATTCTCTCTCTGTTTCAACAGTCAGTGACAGTAATCCTGAGGGTGAAGATCTTCAGAAAGAACCTGTAGAGAATGAAGATCAGAGAGAAAAGTCTTCAGATTGTGATGAAATTGATTGCTCCATGGTCTCTGAGCAACCTCCAGATTGCCAGAAAGAGGAAAGACTAAATACATCCATTCCAAAGGAAAGGAAAATGAGAAATCTTTTAGTTACCATCGAAAATGATACTCCACTAGAGGAACTCTCAAAATATGTGGATATCAGTGTTATCGCACTTACCAGAAATCGGAGAACAAGAAGGTGGTATACTTGTCCACTGTGTGGGAAACAGTTTAATGAAAGTTCTTACCTTATTTCCCACCAGAGGACTCACACTGGAGAAAAACCCTATGACTGTAGTCACTGTGGGAAAAGCTTCAATCATAAAACAAACCTTAATAAACATGAGCGAATCCATACAGGAGAGAAACCTTATTCATGTTCTCAATGTGGGAAAAACTTTCGTCAGAATTCTCATCGGAGTCGCCATGAAGGAATCCATATAAGGGAGAAGATATTTAAGTGTCCAGAATGTGGGAAAACCTTCCCAGGAAACAAAGAATTTGTGATTCATCTGCAGAGTCACGAGGCTGAGAGACCATATGGTTGTACAAAGTGTGGGAGGAGGTTTGGTCGGCTGTCAAACTGTACCCGGCATGAAAAAACCCATTCAGCATGTAAGACCTGAAAACAGAAGTGGGATCGGGAAAGGTCTGATGGTCCTGCCTCAACCTGAAATATTCCTTAAGGAATTCTGAATTCCCAGGCTATCTGAAAAGATACAGATAAGAAAACCTCATTATAGCCAAAATTGGATAAATACCCATGTTTGCTGAAACCTCAAGTTTTTAGAAAATTCACAGCGGGGGAAGAAAAAAGAAACAAAAACATCCTCAAGGGCTATACCTCAGTTAGCAACCAGGCTTTTTGGACTAGAGCTTTCTTTTGTGAACTTGTATAACAATGTACAGGTCACAGATCCCTTCCCTGAAAAATGCTTTGAAATATGAGTCTGGGGGCTGCTTACCTTCAAGGTGAAGAGTGATGAGTGTCCTGAAAGTATATCCAGCTTTTCCCCCACATAGGAATTCACACTTGAGAAATAATGTAAAGGTCCTTATCTGGAACTGTGTTCCCATAAAAGAACCAAACTACTGATTTGTTAAGTCAACAGCTTCTATTAGCAACTCATGTAACCCTCTAAGGATACCCTTAAAGCCTGAGAGTTGAAAGGGGTTGTTTACTTTGGAATTTAGGAAAATACAGCAAGTGAATGTCAAGGACTTACTCTGTCATTTGTATGGGATCTAAACTAATGATGAATTTCAATAACATTTGCAGTTTGTGGTGAAAAGTGACTTTTTCAGAAATCCTTTTCACAGCGTTATTTAAAAGTGTCTGCTGTTCTCACTGTATTTTGTTCCACAATTAATTGCTCACATGGCTCTCTCATGCCTTTCCCTTGCCAAAAGAAGTTTGGGTCGCTCAGGCCTAGCCACCCAGCCCCGCTCCTGGAAAAGCTTTTTAGAATCTTCCCCCTCTGTTGAGTCTAGAAGAAAACCTGCTAGGAAGGAAACCCCAAGAGGAGGAGGAGGATGTTGGCTTGGATCCATGGCTGGTCATTAAACTTGCCACATGCGTATTTCCCATCAGACCTTTGGCAATGGGTGGTCACTACCTCACAAGCAAAGTGTTTTACTTTTAGAAATTATGTCTCCAATAGCTAGCTCACATTACCCCTCAGGAGACAGGGTTCCGGTGTCCTCATTGTAGTGGATATTTGTTCTCTTTGGCCTCCTGATATCCAGACTTTCCTGACTTGTCTGCCAGAGGCAGGGCCAGCGGTGCCTTCACGGGACCGATCCTGTGGTGCGTCATTTTAAGGATTCTTGATCAGTCTTGCTATTCTTAGATTTCCTAAGGTTTTACATTGGTATTTTGATTGGAATAGGTTTAAAATCCTATATATCAGTACTATTGGGGGGAAATTACCTTTACAAATTTTGTTTCCTATCCAGAAACATCTTTCCATTGATTAGAATATTCCTAATTTTCTTCATGTAAGTTCTATACAATTTTGTTACTGTAAATAATTTTTTTCATTATATTTTTCTAGTTGGTTATTGCTCTTACATAGGAAAGTTATTTTTAATTATATATTTGCAAAACTAGCCACTTCTCTGAATGTAATGTTCAGTAATTTTGTAATCTCTCAGTTCTGTTAAAATTTGTGGTTAAAAATTATACCATCTACAAATAGTACTTTTGTTTCTTCCTTTATGCCTATTGTTCTTTTTTGTTAAAATATGTGATTCTTAAGCTTTGTTGTTGTACAAAGCATGCTAAAAGGACATTTTATGATACAATTCAGTCCTGAGTCCTAATTAAAGACAGAAAAAGAAACCCCAACATTTAAAGCCACACTAAAACAGGCTTTATCAATGTTGTCTTTCAAGCCTACTGTATCCTCTAAAATAAGGGACAAAACTGGCTGCCAGCATTATTCTCTTATTCCTTTGCAAGTCTGGCCAGGGTTCACCCAGTTATTGTGCAGAGGGACCCACCTGTGCACCCAGAAAACTTAAAAGGCTAAATGGCTGCCGGGCAGTGACAGGAGAGGATGAGGTCCTGGGGGCAAGATGGTCCTGTTCCCTGCCCAACAGTCAGGCCACAAGGTCCCCAAGATGTTTGGGTTGGTGATGCTCCCGTGACCCAAGCCCCCTCCCTACACTCAGCAAGTGCCTTCCGTGCCCCGCCAGTAAAGTGTGCTAGGTCGAGGTCCCTGGGAGGGGACCCGAGAAGCTGTTAGACAACAAGTAAGTGCTTGATAAGGAGCCTGACAACAGCTAATGAGAAAAAGTAAACACAACAACGAATGGTTTTCCAGTAGAGCAGCAAACTCCAGTTAGAAAATATGAAGGACCAAAGATCCTAATCCTACAGCAGCTATAAATCTAAAGCACACATCCTCTAAAGCCTTGGCACCAGGCCCTGGGTTGTAATGGGGAGCAACAAACCCATGGAGTTTCCCAGGGTGTGGGGTGACGGTGGGGGCAGAAATTCAGTAAATCTCAAAAACAGGTATGCAGCTACACACAAGTGCTAGGAAGGAAAGGCTGCTAGGAGTGATACCGGTGGGTTTTCTAGGGAGGACTTCTGGGGAAGTGACATTTAAACTGAGACCAGAAGGATGAGATGGGGGAGGAAGGGAGCAACAAGGGGATGTTCCAGTAATAAGACATGAACAGATAATCTTCAGATAAACATGAGTGGCTAAAAGAAATATATGAAAGAATGTTTGGCCTTAATAGTAATCTAAGAATTATATATTGAAAGAACAAGGTACCATTTTAGGTGCATTAAATGAGCAGGGTGTGTGTGTGTGTGTGTGTGTGTAAATGTTTGACTTGGCAGAAGAGGGATGACAGCATCCATTTACTGTGACAAGAATGTTAAAACTACTACTCCTTGACCCAGCAATTCATCATCTATGTAAAAGGGGAGGTATCACAACATCATAATGCTGAAAAAATTAGAAATGACCTAAATGTTTGGATAAATAGGGTGGCATACTATAAAGCTAATAAAAATAATGCTTTTCATTAACCTTAGTCATCAGGGTGAGTCTCATCCTCTCCACTCTCTCGAGCCCACTCCAGCTTCACCTCCAATTCCAACACTTCACTAAACATTTATAGAATATTTCACCCAACAACAGCAGAATACACATTCTTTTCAAACTCACATGAAGCATCACCAAGATAGACCACATCTGGGCCATGGAACACACCTCAGCAAATTTAAAAGAATAGAAATCACAAAATATGTTCTCAGATCACAATGAGATTAAACTAGAAGTTAATAACAAAGTTGGCTGAAAAATCCCAAAATATTTGGACATTTAACAACACATCTAAGTAACAAATGGGTCAAAGAAGAAGTCTCAAGAAAAAATTTTAAATATTTTAAACTAAATGAAAACGGAAATAAAACTTATGAAAATTTTGGGATGCAGTGAAAGCAATGCTTAGAGGGAAATTTATAGCATTGGATACATATATTAGAAAAGAAATATCTAAAATCAATCATCTAAGTTTCTACCTTATGATCTACAAAAGAGGAAATTAAATCCAAACAGAAGAAAAGATAAAATAAAAATTAGAAAAGAAATCAAAGAAATTAAAAGTAGGAAATCAATAGAGAAAATCAACAAGATCAACAGAGAAAAATCAACAAAATCAAAAGCGGGTTCTTTGAAAAGATCAATACAATTGATAAATCCCTAGCCAGGCTAACTAACAAAAGAAGAGAGAAGGCACAAATTACTATTATCAGAAATGAAAAAAGGGGGCCATCACTATGAATCCTGTGGGCAAGAAAATGATAATAAAGGAATATTATGAATAACTCTATGCCTATAAATTTGATAACCTAGAGGAAATGGACCAATTCCTTGAAGGACACAATCTACCAAAACTCACTCAAGAAAAAATAATCAGAATAGGCCCATATTAGAGAAACTGAATAATTAATAACCTTCCAAAACAGCACTGGGCACAGATGGTTTCATTATGAATGCTATAAAATGTTTAAGGAAGAAATTATGCCAATTCTCTACCATCTCTTCCAGAAAATACAAGCAAAAGGAACACTTCCTAACTCATTCTGTGAGTCCAGCATTACCCAAATACCAAAACCAGACAAAGCCATTACAAGAAAGGAAAACTAGAGCTAATATCTCTCACGGATATTCACACCAAAATTCTCGACAAAATATTATCAACTTGAATCCAATAGTGTATAAAAAGAATTATCTATGATGATCAAATGAAATTTATTCCAGGTATGCAAGTCTGGTTCAACATTTCAAAAGCAATGAACGTTAAAAAAGAAAAAGAAAAAAAATCATATAATCAGATCAGCTGTAGAAAAAGCATTTGACAAAATCCAACACCCATTTGTGATAAAAACCCTCAGCAAACTAAAAATAGAGGGAAACTTCCTCAACTTGATAAAGAACATGTATAAAAACTTACAGCCAACATCATAATTAATGGTCAGAAACTAGGGGCCCTCCCACTAAGATCAGGAATAAGAAACAAAGATCAGGAACAAGGATATCCCCTCTCACCACTCCTATTCAACACCTACTGGAAGTTCTAGCTAATGCAATAGGACAAGGAAATAAGGACTTCTCTGGAGGTCCAGTGCTTAGGACTCCGCGATTTCACTGCTGAGGACCCAGGTTCAATGCCTGATTAGGGAAATAAGAGCCCACAAGACGCACGTTGTGGCCAAAAAAACACAAAAAACTATTTCTTTGATCCTAAGACCAATGCCACATATTTTAGGCTTTTGTTACGATACTCTCCACATCTCTGTACTGAATTAGTCAGTTATTGCTGCAGTGGTACTTAGGGAAGATATCCCAAAACTCAGTGGATTATAGTAAGCGTTTGTTTTTCTCACTCCTGGGTCTACAGGTTGGTTGAGGTGGCTCTGCTTCACCCTAGACTTCAGGTTGGATTGAGGTCTGATTCTCGTGTCATGTTCTGGAACCTGGACTAAAGGGGCAGCAGCTACCTGGTGAAGTCCTTCTTGTGGTAATCATGGCAGTGCAAGAGCCAAACCAAGCTGCACAAGCAGATTTAAGGTTTCATGTTTTGACTACTCACATTTTGCTAAGGAAAGTCACACAGCCAAGTTCAAAGTCAACAGAATAGGAAAGTATATGTT